AAATTAAGAAACAAGCAGTAAGCTCCAACGCATTCGCGTCGGAAAGCGGCTCTGGCGACGGTAGAATCGCCCCGATGGCCACGATAGTTGTTAAACGTTTACGGTTTCCTTGCTTGGTAACCTTTGTTTGCTATCAGCTGATATCGAGTAATATGCCTAGGAAGCTCCAACCACTGCATTCTTCCAAAAAACCGCGAAAACTTTAAAATTCAAAATTTCAAATTTTGAACGTAAAGTACATTTTTTCCATCACGAGATTAAAGCACAGACAAGTTTTGAATTATTGACTATATCACCATGATTCCAAAAATACACTACACATTATAGCATTGGCTAACAATAAAACAATATGCAATAAAATAAAGTCATGACAAGGTACATAGTCGAAAATGGCGCCGATTCCCATCAACCAACGCGCAGTCTCTCCAATGTAACATGGTCCATTGATACTCCCCAGCTGGGACCGTCCGGAATAGCAGCTCTAGTGCAAGCACCAGAGCCGCTAAAAACAGTATTGTCAACGTGCGAAATTGCACTGGTTTAAGCCACGGCTCCAGCTCCCGGAATTTCAAGTTTTTGAGCCCGGAACGGACGGGAGATCTACATAGCCGGCAATTTTTTTTTTTTTCAGTGTCAAAATGCGGTACTACCCCAATTTGTTGGACGTATATAAGCGCAGATGTGACAGGATCATTGTCGAAAACGATTTGAGGGGTCAGCAAAAGTGGAAATTGATTCGGAATCGAGTGGTATATTACTATGAAAGGGACGGAGTAAAGCCCAGTCACTGGAGGTCGGAAGGATCCCTTTTTGACAGGAATTTAACGCGGGCTGTTTTCCGCGTCACGCCTCACGCCTCACGCATCGGGTGTCGGATTCCTATCAATGCCACAACCGTTCAACGGCGTCTCGTTTCAACTTCATCCGAGTCAGTTTGTCGGGCAGGCACGTGGATTTTTATGAAAAATCCCAAGGTGATCAAGACCATTTCCACGGTTAAACTGCAGAAATACGTATCTCAATTTGCGGCGTTGCAGACTTCCTGACATACTATCTTCTCCATACGGAAAACTATACCAATTGGATCGCGCGTTTAGTAGAAAGGAGTTAAGCTACATCAGCTATTGCCAATTTTAATTGGGAAATTTAATTTTGCTTCCATGACTTTATGTCCACCTACCTTTCGCCCATTAAATAAATGTCCACCGCTATTAATGTCCACTAAAGCGTTAAGTCCAGTCTTCATTAAGTCCACATGATTTAGTGTCCAACCATGCATATGTCCAAAATTGTTCAAATTGTGGACATGTTATATCCACATTTTGTTCTTCTCATTTAAATGACAGGAACCACCTCAAAAATAAATGCATACTACTACTACCTTCATTCTTAAAAACATTTCATTCATGAATCAAGTCATGAAAAAGAACAGACTCTAAGAGCAGATAAAAACATATGCTCATGTGTACACTGTACGGATATGATAAGATGAAAACCAAAGCGGGAGCGTAAGAAATGCCCCAATGCCAAATTAAACATTTTTCAGTAACAGATGCAGTCAAAATTGAAAATCCTCTTTAACTAGTTATTTCGTGCGCCTTCAATCTTGTAGGCTACTGTGCAACGCCTCTGACGCGAAATAGTTGCTTAAAGCGTTGCGGCGCGGCAGGTAACCAGCGTGACTCGCGCATAGGCGCCTACAAACCTAACGGGATACTTCACGCGTTGCGCAATGCGCGAAGTATCCCGTTAGGTTTGTAGGCGCCAGTGCGCGTTCTGCGCTGCTGACACGCCGCTCCGCTCTGTGTTAGGTTCTAATATTCAAACTCGCGGAGTCAGCGTTTTTCAACTAATGATTTTGAAATGTTTGCACTCTCTGCATTGAGTATTCCCTTTTAAACTGATGAAAAAGAAATATGTACTACTGGAAAATATAAGGTGTTTTTTGTAAATATAATATTGGTTCCGTGTCAAATTTAATGATTTCCAAAGCATTCAAATTTATTCTTTTATTTTTTGGGCTTTTACTGTGCTGCATCGTGGTGTAAGCGCAACTAAACGCTCAAAATTGGACGTATTTGACCCAAGGAGATCGATGCACAAATAAGTTAAAAACAAAAAATTGCGTGCTCTGGGCGTAAAAATTGTGGACGAAAAGTCTGTGGACGTAAAAAAAGTGGACATAAAGTCCGTGCACTTTAATTTTTTACAAGATAACATGAGCGCGGATTCCTTCGAAAATTCGAAAGAATTTGCCTCGCACCATGCAAAAAATCCACTGAAGCACAAAAATGTGTACAAACGTTTTCATACGAGCAAGTAACATCCTATTTTTAATAGAGGACGTTGATGCGGATTCCCGTGAAAATTTTAAGGAATCTGCCTCGTGCTAGGCAAATAATTCACTGGAATTTGCGCAAAAATCTGCACAACCGTTTTCTTTTAAAAAATTAAACTGTCCGATTATTATTGGCAACAGCTGATGTAGCATGATTCGTTTCTGCTTGACGCGGTCCAATTTTAATTTCTTGAAACTTATGGCGATTGTTTTTCTTTATGTGAAGAATACTCTGCACAAACAAGACATGATGTTGGTTCGGGCCTCTCTTAAAAATAAAAAAGGAAAGGAGATTTTTAAACACTGCAACCGAGATGCGCATTTTTGCTGTTTCACCCTCGATTTTCCGGGCATTTAACATAATTCCAAATGATCCAGAAACAGTAGTTTTTCATTGCTAAAAGTAATCTAATTGAACAATATTTCGCAGTATCGAGGGCTAGGGTACAAATTTGACTGACTGACGATTTTGGCGAAAGCGAGTTAACGACTTTGCAGCATTCTATATGAAATACGCAAGCTAGGGCTGTTCAATCGGTTGTCGGTAAGCCACCGAAACAGTTCCGTTAAGAAAAAGTTACGATAAGAGCGCTCTTACCGATAGCGATCAGAGTTTTCGGAGCTGGCGAAAATAAGCTGTTGCCAATTGTACATCTATTTTACGCGCCGCCGCGCCAGGCAATCTGATAAACCGACACACGGGGCAACAATGTATTGAGTGCGAGCTCTCAAAACTCCGATAAGGCCGGCTGTTGTCGATATCATGGCCACTGTCGGTACTGCCGCCAGTTTCAATAAGAGACGATGTCGAAAGTGTTCCGGCAAGAATTCGTTTGAACACCCCTAACGCAAGCTGATGCTTTCAGTGTATTCCAATTTTGCATATCACATGTAATGACCCTGTGATGTATAAACAAAATTTAAATCTAACATCAAAATAACAAAAATGGTAACGTTCTTTCTTCGTGCCGCAAAATTGTCAGTTCGCAGATAGGCGGTGTTGTTTTTTTAGTCGTGTAAATGGAGCAACTATTTCTGACTCATTTTGGAAGTAACATCTGTGTCATGAATTAGTTTCCTTATGCAGATAGGTGAGTTCATGGATTGTTTGGAAATGGTAGATCCTCGCCGCAAAATGTGGTCTAATTAATATTTTAGGCGCGATGTTACAATAAGAGAAACGCTTTTTCGACTTTAGGCGTGTATATCTCGTGGTGGTTGAACTCTTAAGGAGTCTGACGGTGCGTTGCATTTCCAGGAGTCCAGGCGAATGCTGCGGTGGGCCGGGTGGGCGGCGCACAGTGGATCGATTCAACGAGAAAGGTCGGAAAAAATTCGGAAACATTACAAGCTTATGACTATTCGTTCATACAGAACATTGAGATTTTGAACATGGTTCTACTTGTTTTCTCGTAAAATTCCCTACAAGTGTCACCCCTTATTATTATGATGTGACGACATAAACATAAAAATGTGCAGTTTTAGCCAAAAATTTCATGTCTGACCTCTTTAATTGACACGATCCAGTGTGCGCCGTAGCTGAATTTTCCAAACTCGACAATTTTTGGCTTATTGGGGATCTACATTTTACGGGATGTATCAGGAGTCGGTCTTTTCAGGCCTCTTTCTCGGTTTAATACGGGCCAAGATATGGGTCTACAGATCGATTTTGGCGAAAAATCTGTATTTTCAACCGCAAACTCGCAAATCCCAGGCTCAGAGGCCGAAAGTTCCAGGTGCTGAAGCCGCAGCTTTGATTCTTCCAGGTGCTACGCCTGGAACTTTTGGCCTCTAAGCCCGAAACGCAGTCGGTATGTCTATCTCTATACAGCCCGTAAGTACGCCTCCCACGGTCGGAGTTTTTTTCCAGTGGCATTAAAATTTGCAGTTTTAATACATACTTTGAGCCGCTTTTATAGCGCAGCCTCACGCTCTGCGACGCCCAATCGCCATTGCCCCCCTAATCCTCCCAGAGACCATCAGGCGATTGGCACCCCTTGATCTCATCACTGGAAAAAAAAACACATTGGATCTAGAGTCATACATACGAGTCGCTGTTATAGCGTTCTTTGGCGCTTTGCGACACCTAATCGCCACAAAGCTCGGTCTTCCCACAGGTTATCAGGATCTAGAGTCCAGACTCTTAAAAACATCGACAAGAAAAAATACTATTCATTGAATCGAATTTTTGCTTAAATCAAGAACCGAGCCTTTTAATTTGAGCGGATTTCGTTTTGATTTAAGCAAAATTATGATTGAATCAGGAGTATTTTTTCTTGTCAATGTTTTCAAGAGTCTGGACTCTAGATCCAAAGTGGTTTTTTTCCAGTGCTCCTCCACTCCCTATCGCCAACCTTTCACAGGACCTTTCTGCAGTTTTAATTAAAACTTTAATATCCGGCCTTTCCGATTGACTGGATCCACTGTGCGGCCGCGGCGGCGGCTGCGGGCCAAAGCCGGAGAAACCCCGCTCGATTACGGCGTTAGCGGGTGGGGAAGCGTGAAAGCGAAATATTATGCACTGAATTTTCGTCGCAGGCCATTGCCTCGCGAGGCCCGCGAGAAAAGCCAGCGCCGTCGACGACCGCGGAGTGTTGTGTTTGTGTAACCCCGGCCCGGCCGAATCTCATCTCGCCCCCGAGCACCCCCGAGCGCCCAGAGCACCCCCGAGCGCCCCGAGAGCCCCCGGTGAGCGCGACCCCGCCTCGCCAACCCCCAAATTGATGGGAATTCCAGTCTCCATGAATTATGGTTCATCCTCGCACCGGAAATGTAGCGATCACGGTAACTAACCTCTATCAACCTCCGCTATACCGAAATAACGCTTTCGTCCCCACGCTTACCCTCCTCCAGGCTCACGGAAAAATGTAAATGTTGATGTGCTTTGAATTGTTAAAACAAGTCCGTCAAGTTTCAAATGCTGATTTTACGACACAAAAATGCTAACTCAACTTTTGAATTTGTTCATTTTACTGTGAGCGCAGTTAAGTCATGAGATATTAATATTACCAGCCAAAATAATTATGAATCACCTATAATTACTGGCTAAAAGACTGAAGGGAGATAAGGCAGAGGCACATGGGCATAGCACAAGGTATCACCGACTAAGCATTTTATCAAGGAACGACGCATACCTCACAAAGGCAGGGAAATTCTTTAATAGAATGCCAAATATCGTAAAGGAAAACATATATAAACCAACGTTCTATAAACTGGCCACAAGACATTTAATAGCAAAATCCTCTTATTCAATCAATGAATTTTTAGGTTAAGAATTGTGAATTCTCATCATGAAAAGAATTGTATGCGAATATAGTTGTAATAATATTAATAACATTGAATAATTACCCTAAGACGAATTGTAAGTAAATATGTTTATATAAGTATGTTAATTCTGAAAATGACGGTTTTTTTAAGCGAAATGTGCAAAAAGCAAAAGAATAATTAAATCAAATCGAATGAAGTTAGCATTTATTACTTATAAAATTAGTATTTGAAACTTGTCGGACATTTTTCAAACAATGTAAATGCTGAATTAACATTTGATTTTTTTTCCGTGCTCCTTATCAACATCTTTAGACAAAGCCATGGACAAAAAGGATATTAAGGAAACGGAGCCATCCGATTGGTCAAAGCAAGTGGCTTTAATGGGAAGAGGAGGTAAGTAAGACTTATAGTAATTCAAGAGGGAACCTCGACACTGTGCGCTTAGTCCATCATTTTACCCCTTAGAATTTGACAGCCACCCGTTTCTACCAATAGAAAAGCTTCATTTTCCATATTTGTCCATAGCTTTGTCCATCAATTTCAACGATCACTCCGCTGTTATGAATGATAATATTCTATTCTCATATAGACGTTAAGATCGGGTCAACTTTGACTCTAAAACCGAGTCAAAGACTTTATTTTAATTCATTTGACTCTTTTCGAAGCTCAATGATAATACATGACTTCAAGTTGCTCTAAATTTCTCCTGTTGCCTCAAATGACGTATAAATGCTAAAAGGAACTATGTTAAAGTCAAACCTCATGCACACGCAGGTAGTTTTTTTCAGCACAAATAGTTTAATCGATTCGACTAGTCTTCATTATGGGAACCACACGTTACAGTTCAATGGTGTAAACGGATTTTAGAAATGACAATTTTGCGCCATAAAATGCATGAGAATCGTGCAAACAAATCATAGGATTCAGAGCGAGTCTTCATAATAGGAAACAGTAAATCTTATATAATGAAAAATCACCAAGTACAACATATTTTGATGTGCTGTAAATGAAGCATTTTTTATTTACAGGATAAAGATGAATTTTTGCTGTGTGAAAGTAATTCCAAAACAATGTTAGGCTCAAATACTTACCTTTGCACACGTGCTGCTCTTAAGAAATGTATTTTGTGTGAATATAAAAAGAATGGAGGACTTTGTCACTATATGTATAGTAAGGAGGTAGGTGAGATGGCGTTACATAGATTGGTATAGATATACTGCGAGTAAGGTTATTATAGGAAGAGCTGGTACTTACCGAAAGTCCATGTAAACGTCAATGGCGTGGCGTGCTTTGCGATATATCGATTGATTTGTCATTGATTCTATCGGAAAGGATCGATAGACATGGCGTTCCCAACGGACATCTTAAAATCGATTCTTTACCACGGATTCAAATGGGTATCGATAGTCGATCATTCACGCCACGCCACTGGTAAACGTGAACGTTTACCCAACGTGGACCAACTAGAGTTAAGAGAGTAATATTCTGTGAAAACTTCAAGCCATGCTATTGGTTCCGTCTCCTTTCATAAAATAAAATAGTAGCGGAGACTTCGAAACACCACAAAAGAGAAACGCATTTTTTGCAGTTTCGCCGACGACACAAGATACCATCAAATATAGAAAAAAATGAAATCAGTGAATACCGGAGTGATCGCCATGTTACCGGAACGTGTGTATTCGCTCCTATTGTTTATAATTTTATTAATTTAACCGATATTAACACCTGTCATTAATGTGGCTCATTTGCGAATGTAATTTCATGTTCAAAGCGGAATTTATTTGAGCCAATCCTTCGTAATTAAACCGTGCGTAGGGCGTCGTAACTAATTTTGATGAGCGTTGATTTGATTCGTTGCTTGAGTTGGTTCCAATTTCCTGCGCACTTCGTGGGTGTACACTGCAGAGGTTAGCGGCAAAATAATATGAACCGAATCCGCACTACCCTCGTTCCTGTCTGTACGAAGTCGGATCGGTATTCTAAGCATGTTGGATGACGAGAGAAATAACCTCTATCGTTTATAATTGGACGAGAACAAATTAATAATGCTTGCAAAACGTGAATGTTGACACCGAAATCTGTAGACAAACGTGAAAGTGTTGCAACCTATATTCATTTATCAATAAATTTCTCAATTTGTTGAGTTTGCCTTGACTTTGATATCTGAAGTAGGTTGTTAAAAGTAACGTGTAGGTCTGACAATTGCCTAGAAAATGGAAAACTATGAAATGAAAACCCGGATGCGTGTAAATTTGAAATTTATTTTAATCCAATCGGAGATATTAAACAGAATGGGCGGGCAGAAAATTATACCCAGAGTATTTAATTGACATGATTTGCTCCAAAAGTATTACGACCAATTAAAATGAGCTATGTGCATAGGCTTTAGCGTATAACATAGTTCTTCATGGCATAAACATATTTAATTCTCTCACAAACGATGTCTGAAGTAAATGATTTAAAACATCCACTAATCACCAAATTTTCGACTGGAACTGCGAGTACTTGTTAGAAAGCTTCTCTAGAAGTCTTTTAGGAAAAGAACGCAAATTTTCAAGAGATGCTATTCATTTCAGCTCTCTAAAACTATGATTTACATAAAAAATGCCGTATAAATACAAGCAAAATCTTTTGAAAATAATCCGTTTATATTTGTTGAAGAGGAAAAGAAAATGTATAAAATTAGCGCTTGGTACATTTCAAAAACCAATAGCTCAATCGAGCAAAAGAAACGTTGGCGCAAAAATGAAGGAGGATTTGCCGTATTATTCATACCTCAAAAGATTCAATTCAATGAGATTATTTTGAATTAAGTGTCGTCCCGCGTTCCGGCTTGCAGTGGCGTGGCGTCCTTTGCAATTTATCGATTGATCTGCCATTTAAACCTATGAAAAAAGATCGATTATCAGGGTGTTCGCAACGAACACCTCAATAATGGATTCTTTACCATAGCTTCAAATGGGGAAATATCGATATATATCGAAGCACGCCACGCCACTGTGGAAACGGTAAGAGCTGGCCAGGCGCAACAGCCGGACGTGGGTATTTTTGCTGCGAAATTTCCGCGAAATATATTTTCAGTGGAATGCGATTTAGTCGCGGGAGCTGTTTTCCGAGAATTTCTCTTTGAGGTTTAAAAACAAGCCTCGATTTACACTAGTGACAAAGAAAAAACTAGGAGAGCGAGAAAGTAAAAAATATCCTAGGGATGAGGTTCAATGGTCACTGAGCCGATTTTCCTAAATTGAAGACTTATTAATTCAAGTTCAGTTATTTTCGTTCTCGCTAATTTTTAATTGCCCGGTCATTGTTCCCAAATATGTGGCATTGATGACTTCATTTCTTATGATGCCATGAATGCTTGCGAAGCACTAACATAAGCTGTCATAAGAATCGCTCCTATCACGGACAATCGATTATAGGGCTTTTCGTCGACAATTTTTTCTCCGCGCACTTGTTTTTTCTAGTAATTAACGTCCTCGCGTTTTTTCGGTAGGGGAGTTTTGGTCCACCTACCGATTGAGACCCAACGGTCCACCAATGGTCTACCAATTGGTCCACACGTACATTGCAAACGAAATTTACTCATGACGTTACGGATGGAAATGTAAACTGTCTTAAAAAAATGAGGGTTTGCTTGGTTTTTTTTGTTTTTTTGTTTTGTTTATTCAGAAATATGTAATTCGGATTTTTGGTAAAAATGGGAGTGCGTCAATTCCATGAGGGAAAATTCACTAAAACTCTTCATCTCTTTGGTGCAACACGTCTTAATTATCTTTCAAAAAAATCCCATCTTGTTTCACCTGAGGCGAATAAACCTTTTGATTTGCCTGAGCTAAAGGATCTTATTTGTCGTATGTGTACTATACCTTCGCGACGGTGGCGGCGTGCCGCGGCGCTTTGAGCTGCTACTTTGCCACGGAGGCGTTGCACAGTATCATACGAGATTGAAGGCATTCTAACATATCATGATTGATGGCATCTTCCAAAAGCACGAAGTTCTCTCACAAATTAAATTGAGTGACGACGACAAAAAAGAGCGGTAGTTGACAAACTTACTAAGTGCTATTATCTGATTTCGATAAGGTTGAGTATGATTTTTGAACTTTATTTGAGGAAAAAGTGACTTAATTCAAGAGGAAATATGCTTAAATTACCGCCAAGAAGATTTTTATATGAATCATTGATGAAAATAATGCTTGTTTAAAGAAGAAAAGATGCTTTTATAAGAAGAAAAGCCGCTTACATCAAGCAGAAACCAGCTTTCATTCAGCTATTCTATTCTTGATTCAAAATAAAATCTTCTTGACGGCATACTCAAGAATGTTTCTGCCTAAATAGATTCATTTTTTCTCCAATGAAATTCAAAAATAATGCTAAACTTAATTAAATACGGATGCTAGGACTTGGCGAGTTTTTAGATTACCACTGTTGTTTTGTGCCGTTGTATCTTAATTTATTTTGCGAAGAAAGCTCGGTACTCTTGATAGAGATTCTTAATACGTTGGAGTGCCTTC